ATTATAAGGTATTTTTGTGGAAACCACAAATTGTTTATACTATGAGTAATCTGTAAGGGTGCACACATCATCCTTGTCCTTCATTTCCTGCCCCTCCACTGCATAATTCATATCAGCCACTAACAAAGCTGTCACCTAGAAGGTCTCATTTCAGTATCTCATTACCAATTCTTTTGTTTCTGAGACAAAAATACAAATGCCATGAAATGTGAGAAAATAGTGCCTTTTTCCTTTCCTGGTATCCATGCTCTTTCCATAGAAGATTGTGGAATAAATGATTAAGTAGCCTCTGGAAAAGGTCTGTTCTGAAGCACAGAAAACTTCATTAAAATCACCTCCATACAACTTTGAGGAATTTGCATCTCCTTTGATAAGACGACTCTTTTTTAATGCTGGCTTGATTAATTTTCATTGACTTATTCATTCTCTGCAGTTTATTGTTGTGCCTGGTTTCTTTTGTTTTTTGTTTTTAAATGCCAAATTAAAGCAGTGACAGGTTCAGTATCAAGGGTTTCAAGGGCCAGTTGCCAAGGGTTTAATTATATTCTTCTGGCAAATGTTCCATGTTTGCTCTTTCAAAAAGTCAGACATTACTGGATATCAACTCTACAGTTTCAGTCAGCTGAGGAGTGATGCAAAAGGCTCCTTTTGGTGAGAACTAGCAATCAGAAATGTCATATTTGACCTAGGGAGATCTCATGACCTTATTACCTGGAAACTTTATAAGATAGCAGTTTTCATGTGGTCCAGTGGTCTCTCTCAGGCTATATTGATTATGTGAAGAAATTACAGCAGTTCCTCATTATAGTTACCAGCTATTGACTGCATAATCTGAGGGTAACGCTACACTGTATGGCATTACAGAGCTGGAGTTTTCTGTATCTCTGCTGCATTCTAGTAGCCATCTAGATTTTTTTCAGCCCAGATTTTGTAATCTATGATTTTAATTATTTTCTTAGCGAATATAAAAATAAAGCAAAAAGCAGAGCCTGCAAATACCATTTAACCAGTTCAAAGTAAATTCTTTCTCTTTCTCTCTCTCAAACTCTAAATAACACAAACTAGCAGAAAGCATAGAGACAAAAGAAATAAATACATGGAAAAAAATTAAAAAGAGAAAGAAAACAAATAATGATGTTTATTTAATTTTCTACAATACAAGAATATTAGACCACACAGAATCATATTTTCCTATTTTTCTTTTAGGTTGATACAAAGCCAATTCAAAAGCTGAGAGTTGACAAATTTTATTAAATTACTCTTTAGATTGTGGGGAACAATATCCTTGCAGCAGTACATAATCCCTCGGGGGGGGGGGGGGACAGTTCAGGTGCAATATATCCAGTGCTTCTCATAAATAGACAAATTTCAATGACTGCAGTTATTTATTTAGACAAATGTCAAGGTTTGGGATATAATTTAACAGTATATGAACATGTTTTACTTCTTCCCAAACATCTGGTCTAACATAGTGTTATTGTTCAACCAGAAAGGAACATGGCCAAATCACATGTACTAAAGTGCCTTCAAATTTATTACATCTCCAATGTAAGAAGGATGGTGACTAAACCTAACCCCCATCCCCAAATAGCTTTATTGAATTAATTTAGTCTTTAGCCCATAAGGAACATATTTAGTATTCATGAAAACTTGGGACCATTGATTTGGTAAGACAGGATACTCCAATTCATCATTCTAAATTTCTTGTATGTTATCCAAATTTATTTTTGTAAAATTTAGTCCATATCTGGTAGCCTTATTGTAGTACCATACTGAGAGAAGAGTCAAAAGTGAAGAGGTAAATTGTGTAGTCTGGATTAAAGCTTGCTCTGTAATGAACTCAGGTGGTGAGAACAGTAAGAAACAAAAGAAGAGTAAGTATGCCTGGAAGAGGCCCAAGGTTTGTGGAGATGCAAACGCTACTTGTAAAAACATGCAGGGAGGTAAAATCCACTCATCACTGCACAGTTATCACCACTCATGCTTTATAATTAAAAATGTAGAATAAGCATTGGAATAGAAAAATGAAATATAGAAAGAATGGAATGACCTGTTTGGCAAGATGGGCTGGCTTCATCCTAAAAGGGGAGCATTCCATTTTGTTGGAAGGAAGGATGTCAAATTAGTCCTGCACCTTCCATCTGTATGCCTCTATTCCCAAGGCATTTTTTCTCTGTTAATACTATTAGAATGAATTTCTCTCTGTCACAGGGCCTCCACCCATAGAAAAACATGTTCACCCATTTTCAGTGAAGCTACCACCAGATCCAGGTTGTAAAATCTCTTCTGAGTAACTTGCATGAAAAAGGATGTGTTCTCATGCTTCTCCTTCAAACAAGTAGATCAGTGCATTATTTTAACTCACTGACTTGAACATTCTTCAGAACTTTTATAGAACATAGAATTTATTGTCACTGAATTAGAATGTGTGTTGATGGACAATGCCAGTTTAAATTTGTGAACCATGTCTGAGATAAAATACTCGAAGATTTCTCAGTTCAATCAATACTTTTGGGAGACCAAGCAATACTAAAACAACTGCTTAGGAAACTTTTTTTTCTAATAGGCTACCCTATCCTACAGCAGTTATAACAGCAGTTATCGTCTCTGTAGACATCAGCGTGGGATGATTTTAAGTGTTAATAAAGGTAAATTGCTTTGGAAAAATCAAACCAAAATACAGTGCTGTAACTGCAGGTGGAAGATGAAGGAAATGCCAAAGATCCTGTTGCTTTTCCCTGAGCCTTGTCTGATTTAAACCCTTTTCTTTGTCTGACTGCGTTTATGGCTGTTTTTCCTGGAAAGCAATTGTTTTCAAGCCATTGGAAGCAACACGTTGTGCTTTTTCTGAATATTTAAACATTTATCCAGCTCACGGTTAAAAAAAAAAAAATCTTTGGTGCAGACTTCTAAAGGCTGATCTTTTGCGCACTTACTGAAAAGCAAATTCTACCCCATGTGCCCATCATTTCAGTATTAAAGTATACATTTAAAATTGTCATAAGGGTGATAGCTAACAAATAAAATATGATGAAGTATTGCAATATATGGTATTCTATCATTCACTGAAAATGTAGAAGCTTTGGGACATACTGTAATTTGCCAAGCAACTCATAGTGATGGGCTTGCATAGAATCAACTCAAAAATGGTCTGGCATATCATGGCATCGTGGACATATTATAGCCATGATTAAGGCCAACGTTTATTTGGGTCATTCTAAATTTAAATTCCTAATCATTTGCAACCTTAATCTTGCATATTGATGAAAAATGAGGCTGAATCACAAATTAACATTAGCTATCATGTAAACATAGGAATGGAATCTGCCTATTTAAATACGTGGTTTTTTTCTTTCTTTTGTAAACTGGATTTCCTGACTTTAGTGAAAAGGCATATTTTTAAGCTTATTATGCTTGGAAACCAGTGGTACCACATTGAGAGCAGAAAGGGAAGAGTGCTAGGAATACCCACATTTCTAAAGCAGTTAAAAAGACATTGTGGGGAAGGTCAGTGCACACACTCAAGGGACCCCTCTTTCATATCAGGAATCCTACCTAAAATCAGGTTGAGACACATTTATTGAATGACAGTGGCTATGTGGTTATAGCTGTGTGAGGATTCTGATGATGGTAATGACATGTGAAAGCCTTTTGTATACTTCTTAGGGAGGGCTGGGCAATCCATGTCTGCAATTGTATGCTGCTCCCTTGCCATTTTGCACCATAACATTTGGCTGCAAAATGGCTACTTCTTGCCACAGGTTTTTTTCCCCTATCTTCAAGTAAACATAAGCACAGAAGTACATTTCAACTCAGTGCACCCAATGGCATTACCGTATCACTAGACACACCCTCTTGCTCACCTTGGAAGCCAAAATAATTTAAAAAGAGTCATCGTGCTCTTGGCTAAAATCAGTTGTCTGTTCTTGATCTAGCCTGATATTCCCCAATCCAGAGCCCTTCATGCTGACCAGAGAAATTAAAAGGTAAAAGTCGACACATCCTAAAAGACTCCTTACAGCCTAAGTCTTTCCAAGATTCTGTATTCCTATATATGTATATAAATAAATGAATGATGCTAGAAATCAACTATAAACCAGCATATGCCCTGCTACTGCTATAGTTTTGGAAAATTATACCTGTGTGAGCATCTATAGAATAGAGAGAGCAGAATGCGCGTGTGTGTGTGTGTGTGAGAGAGAGAGAGAGAGAGAGAGAGAGAGAGAG